CTCCTTCAAACTGTTCAGGACAGTAATTTGGTGAGTTTGCTGAAATAACATTTTGAACAGACACGTCGCTGAATACTGATTGATTTATATGCTTTTGAATCAGAAACTTTATGTTGCCACCATTCTCATTCGTACCGTCGAGACAGTGCTGTCAACCGAAAAATTCTACCCGTCTCTCATCTCGTATCTCGTAGTCAACCACAGTGAGATAACAGACCATGTCGCGTCAACTTCTTCGAATCTAAAGTTCCCTGATGAAGAAGCAATTTTGGAAAAAGCTGTATCCTCATATCCGTCAAACCCAAAAATTCAACTAATGTATCTTACTCACTTTGCCTCGGCACAGAATTATGAAGCAGCTATGCGCCAAGTACCATTAACGATGGATGGAAAAGGAAGAGTGATTCTTGAATACCTGAAATTTCTATTGAAGGATGATGCAGCAAGGTCGAATTACTCAGATATCAAGAACACTGTGGATTCGTTTTGGAAAGAATTAGGGCTTTTGTCGCGTAATGAGTCAGATGAGCACAACCATGGACTCGATACAGAATTCTTGAACGTTTGGTTGGTATGGGTGGCAGGAAAGTTTGATTTGAAAGAAATGCGATTGGCTTATAATCGGTACCTATCCTGCCGTTTCTTGCTTGTGATGAAGTTGCCGAACTAATTTTTTTTGAATCTTAATGCTTTAGGTTATTATCCATAACATTACGAATTTCAGCTTCCCTACTCAAAACACTTATTCAGATTGAACAATCATCGCTTGAGAATGTTGTCGATCAGAAAACTCGAAATGAATCATTGTCAGCGATTCGAAAATTATACGAACGAATAATTGCATTGTCCGATAATGGTCACGACATCGGTAAGCCATTAATTACACTTTTCCAATATCAACTTACTTACTAACGAAATACTATTGTGCACAGATTCATGGATCTCGTATATCAAGTTCGAGACATCTCTCAAAAACTTCACTAAAACCCAAGAGTTACATTGGAAAGCGAAGAAAAATTTTGAGAAGTACGACTCGCTTTTAGAAATGTTCGAAGAGCGTTTTGCTGCGTTAGAAAATGATGCTTCTAGCTGAAGGATACGGCCATGATCTACCTGTCAATTATTTGAAATAAATTAAGTTTCATTAAGTTTCAAGGGTCTAAAATAACCTTTCATTAGAATGAAGTGGTGAATGCTGACTGATTTGATGATAATTGAAACTGACATGCACAATCGCCCAGTATTTGATGCGAATCTTATATGATATATAGGAGTGAGAGTCCCACTGTTCCGAAATCACGTGATCTTAGATTTCCACTTTGATTCCACTTAGCGCAAGGCCCCCGGCAAAACTGGGATATGACTGGGCGGGAAACCAACAGCAATTTAAATCATCAGAACATGGAATCGGACGGCACCAAAGAGCTTCCATCTACAAGCGACAATTCGCAATCAGAGGAGCAGGATATACATCTGCATGTCCCCTCAGAGTCAGAATCAAGAGTACGTTTTGAACATCTTTAGATATCACTTATCGGTTATTTGCTCGTCGACCCCATTTGGTTGACCGCACAGTCACCAAGAATTTCCTGAATAGTATAACTAACTATCTTTAGCCAACCTCAAATGATATACCCTCTGATCGACGACTCTATATCGGTAATCTTCATCCAAAAGTAGACGAATACACTCTATTGATAATATTGAAACCGTATGGAAAAATTACTAGTTTTGATTATATGTGGCACTTACATGGTCCTAGAAGAGGTGAACCTAGGGGCTATGCATTTGTAGAGTTTGAAAGGGCAGAGGTTTGTGTAGAATATTCACCGTCATGGACCGAACGTTGCGCAGTATTGCGATGAACTGTGGGATCGTTTTGATACGCAACGAAAGGTAACGAGAGTAGATGTCGCACATTTAACATTACTTTCTTGAATTTCTGCTATTAGGACGCTGAAAAAGCGATTGCGGAGTTAAACGGGAGGTCGTTACATGGCAGGCATGTTGTTGTACACTTTGCATTAAACGTATGTACTGTCCCGGTTTTAAAACCGAAGTATGAAAGTCTTAGCATGTTTATGTCCGATCTGACATCGCTCCCGTTGTCTTCTTTCTCCCCCGTATATGTTATGGCTAATTACGCTCATCAACAGTCACAGTACGAAGAAATCAAGTCAATATCATCTACCCGACGAGGGAAAATTCCGGCACATCCCTCAACGGCGACATCATCCTCTTCTTCAACCGTTTCCTCCCTTCGTGGCCATTCCCACTCATCCCAAAATACGGCATCTTCAACGACTAATATAGCAGTCGCAAAGCTTACCAAGTTGGCAAAGAAATCAACTGATGGGAAGATATTAGAGTTGGAAAGGAAACTGGGTATGGGAGGGAAAAGTAACGATAGAGGCTCAGGGCCCAGGGGAAGAGAGGATAGGGCTAGCGGCTCCAGGTACTCAAATGTTGGCGGGGACGGGAGGAGGCATCGGCCTTATTGAAAAATTGTTTATGAATGACAGGATCGGGCAAAGCTGTACAAAAGAGAACTAATATTATTCAATGCGAGCTCATACATCATATCTTCCGAATCAATGATAATAGTATGTATAGTGTGTTAAAGAAACCCTGAACAATTGCACTAGTGCGACTGCAGAGTGATGTCACCCATGTAACGCCCACCACGCTTGTACCTTTCTAGTTAAAAAAATTCATTCCCTCCATTCTCTACAACTTGATAAACAAAATCACAATACCCATAAGAGATCACTGCTCAGAAATCAGCCATGATGACATTTCAAAGGATATGTGCGCCATGTCTAGTCACTCTGTTTTGCCTCAGTCACGAAGCCATAGCATCCATAATTTTTGTCCAACAGTCACAGAGCCAACAGCTAGGTGGAAACATGCCCACTAACATAATTGTTATTCAAATTTCGCTGACCAATATGTTTACTTTATCAACATCACAATAGAGCCCGTTTATACATTCAAAGAGCTTTCGGCGGACCATACGGCCGAGAAAGCTGATGATTGTTCCAACCCACCAACAACAGATTATAACCTTGGTTTACATGTTGCAGCGATATTCATTATTCTTTTCACCAGTGGATTGGGTGTTGTAATACCTTTACTGGGAACTCGGTTTGAACCGTTACATTTCAGTCCCAAGGTGATGCGAGTACTGAAGTCCTTCGGTAGTGGTGTTATACTAGCAACTGGTATGATTATGGTCGAAGTAACAATGTTCTTTAATTTCCATTCACTTGCTCTAAATCATATAAAGAATGAGAGAGTTTCTAACACATTCATCCATATCTATCTATGACTACCGATAATGGCTATCGTCCAAACAAACGACCCATAAAATTTCGCATCCACCTTTCCCCTTTGATCCAAACAAAACTGAAGCCTTCATACACATGCTGTATCCAGCTCTCGAAATACTAAGCAGTCCATGTCTCCCCGCTTTCTTCACAGAAATCTACCCTGCGTTTGCCATCGTTTTGGCGTTATTTGCAATATTATTGATGCAACTCGTCGATATTTTTGGAACCCATTTTAGACTGAAATATCGTAGGCGGAGAAAGAGCAGTGATGGAAATGGATTTACAATGGATGTAGGTCCAGCTGGGATTCGAACCGCCGCTAATGAGACTGGAAATGGTAATGGAGAGTTAAAAGTCGATCCTTCCGAACTTTGTGACCATGAACATCACCACATTGAGAACCATAATCATCACCATCCCTCTCATCCTCAACACAACCATAGCCATTCTCACGATCATCACCATTCGTCCCATACTCAGCACAATCATGTTCATCATCATGATCGCCACAATTCTGGCTCTCTCGACGAAGAAACTCAGCTGGATGGAAATCATGGGGATGGATGTTGTCAGACGGCTGCTGTTGTGGCTATGATGTCGAGTGGCGATGATTGCCCCGATGTCTTGAAATCGAAAAAATGGAATTTATATTTGCTCGAAACAGTGATTGGAATACATTCTGTGATTATCGGTTTTGCCTTAGGTGTCAAGCGAGGTAAGTCAAATCATTGAATGATTTTGTGGTTCAGAAACATTTACTCTTGTATCATACGCAGAAACGGCAGAATTCACAACACTTCTGATCGCTCTTGTGTTTCATCAATTCTTTGAAGGATTTGGTGCGTATCTCTTTTTATCGACTTGTAATTTGGGATGATAGTTGGAATTAGTTTCTAACTGCGTATTGGTTAACCTTGAACTCCCTCAATCGAAATCTAGCTCTTGGAACTCTCGCATCTGCCTTACATCTTCAACCTCGAATACTCATCACATTAATTCTAGTTTACTGCCTTACAACACCTGTTGGCACAGCAATCGGAGTAATATTAACTGCCGCTATCAATCCAAATCCAAACGACGTCGCAAGTTTAGTAGTCACCGGCGTTTTGGATTCCCTAGCGGCAGGAATCTTGGTACTTTGTTTATTTATATTTATTTATCGTTTTCTTCCTCACAGACATCATGAATCATTACATATACTCAACCTTGTTCCTTTGCTGCGTATTTAGATTTATACCGCCATTGTTGAAGTGATCATACCCGATTTCAGAGATACGTCTTTCCAACATTTAGCTACTAAATATAAAATAGCTAGTGTACTTGCGTTATGGTTAGGTGTTATTGTGATGTCTGTCATTGGATTTTGGGCCTAATGGTGTACAGTAGATACAGTTGCACACAGAATAAATGACATTTTGCGAAAGTTACAGACCCTGGACCTTCTTCGTTTGCTCATATTAATCTCCTTACTTGGACCATCATTCATTAAGCAACACACCAATTCTGTTCTCTCGGCAGATCTACTGGATATGACACTGGACAATATGGGCAGACGCTGAAAGAATGGTATTTACTTTGTCACTAGATTAAGTTAAGGAACTACACAAATCATTGAGGACCCAGTTTGGAGACAAGCCTATATTAGATTAAATTTGACGCATATGGTCATGTGCTTTCTTGGCTCAGTTGGCAGAGCATCCGCCTAGTAAGCGGAAGGTCGTGAGTTCAATTCTCACAGAAAGCAATCTTTTCGTTTTGCCTTCCCTGATTTTAATAAATTGTAATTTTAAGTCTCTCAGAATACTATCTTATCGAGTTAATTCTGAAGACAAATCACTATGGTCACTGTATCGAATAGTCCCCGTTCTGCTACACATATATTAATAATCGCTCATTAAATTGGATTCTGAACGCGCCTTTATATGGGTTACAAGGTACCAAATTTGTAAATAACATAAAGTGCGGGCGCTCTAAACCTCAAATTTCTGCGGACCACCAGCACTGCACATTCGGTTCGAGATAAATCATGAGTGCCGAGAAGCAACAACGAAAGCAATCAAAGTATAAGAGAATTGAATGAATATAAATAGTTTTTAGGGACGAAGAATAGTGCATGCGTCTCCTGAGGCATGAGTAATCACGGGAATTTATATGCATTCCTACAACTACCGATCTACGAGTTCCTTCGATCAAACAGTGATTGTCATGTTCCCCTACTCTGTAAAATCTCTAACATTAGGTCCTGTCTCAGCACCACTTCTTTCAAAAACCTACTAGTAACACTGACATCATCGAACTCTCTCACAACGAGTTCAATTGCCCCTTTCCTAACACTTTCCACACCAGTTTCGTCCGCATCAAGCAATACATCCGCAACATTATCAATACTGACTTCTGTCATTAGGAAATCTTCACAAACTAATTTTAAATCAGACAACATGTATTGATCTGCTGCTGTGTATAATTCGAATGCATTGTCATAATGGAGAGGACAAGTACCGAGGTAGAGATAGGAAAGGAGGCAAGAGAAAACGGTGGGACGGATATTCGGAATATGAATCGTTGAGGTCGTGGATTCTTTGAATGTTGGGGTACGAAACATAGCATCAAAGATTTCGCACCGCGTACAGAGAATGACTTTGTGTGCATGGAATATTTGCGGGGTATCACTTACTTCTTGACCTACGTACAAAGACATTTTATATTTCACAAATCGGTTAACTTAAAGCCAAACGTGCAGATACAAGGCAAAAAATAACTTACCAACAACGAATAATACATCAGCGAACACATTTTCCGGTTCCCGCACTAGCAGGCTTTTCAAATCTTTAATCAAACTATTTGGAAAGCAAACACTCATATTCGTTTGTGGGGTCGAAGATTGTAGTTGGGGGGACGAACCCGGAGATGCCATTGCGTTCTGCATTCCTAATGCGACTCCACCTCCCACAGATACACCAATACCAAGTCCAGGACCAGCATTCAAATTAGGATTAGAATTCGAGGTAACGCCGTACGTATACCCATATCCGGGAAGAGTGATTGCTGTGGTGAGATTGCTGCCACTTCCGACCCGACCACTTCCGCCGCTGGACTTAAATTTCTTTCTGCAAAGTAATATTTCCCTAATCAACTCCGTATTCGGAAGTAGGTCTCTGGCAAAACTAGGATCCTTTGACACAGGATCGAAATGCCATAATAAATAATCTAAACAGTAGGAACGAACACTTTGAACTTGAAATTTTTGAGCAGATAAAAGGAGAGAAGTGACGTTTTCGATCGTGGTGTTTTGTTTCAAGAACTCTTCAGACGAGCGTTTTAAGTCGGAAAGATGATACATGTCTGCTGCTTTGAAAAGTTCACTGGTGAAAATAGTGTTAGCCGCTTAAAATAAATGTCAATCCGAAGCAATTTATGTATGACCTACCAAGCAGATTCCAACTTAATGTCAACGGCCGAGGTATACAGATACCTCAACAAACATTGAAATACTTCCGGGCTCAGCTCAGGTACTTTAATTTCAATTCTGATTTGCCCTTCGTCTTTATCTTTCCCTTTTTCTTTCTTATAACTTTTATTTTCTTCGTCATCATCTTGCTTTTCTGCATCCTTCAGTTTTTCTTCATCATAACTTAATAAACGACCATTCCTCGCTGATCCTGAATCTCGGGTACCTTTAAATAAGCGGGCAAACGTTTCTGATCTCGCGGCAAGAATAACTTGATGCGCGGCAAATCGTTTTTCTTCCGGGCCCACAAGGAAGACTACATCACTTAAACGTTCGTTTTCTACCAGATGCGACATATCAGATATAAGTTTGTTGGTCGATGTTTGCTCCACTAAGAATGTTCGGGAAAAAAAGTAGAACAAAGTTACGGTAAATATAACGAGGGAATGCTGGTTGATTCATAATACCAAATATCTTACCTTCTTTGCAAATCATCATGGCCCCAAATTTGGTGAACTTGCATCCATCCAAGGCAACTTCAACGTTCACGAGGTTATTTGTGAACATATTCAACGGCACGGAGCAGACAATCTTGTAACAGGGCGGAGAATGAACATCGATAGCAATGAACGGGACTCGGCGGAAACGTGAGGGCTTGTTCCAATTTCCAAATGGATATTGGCCCGACGAGTCATTGTTATCTGAAGCAAAAGAGTTAACTAAATCAAATTCAAAGAATTATCAAGTGATAGACGTACCTTTTTGACCGACAGTTCTGATTGAGGTGGTACTTTTCTGTGATAGATGCAATTTGTTAGCAATTAACAGTTAAGGATCGGATGACAAACATTGCAACAAATCATACAAAGTAGATGCCACCAGTAGCAGGCCATGAGAAAGAGGAATGAACTTCATCTTTACTCAATTCCAACACCAGGTTACTACGGCCGTCCCATTCAATAGGCTTTATTAATTCAAAACTAATCCATTCATTCACAACAAACATGCTTTGCACTAAATTGGTGGGACCGAACACCACCGCCAATTCATTTGGATCCATAAATTCGGTAAAGTGATCATCAGATGTGAATGAACATGCTATGCGAAAGTTTTCAATGGTTCGATCAGGAACATCACTTATTTTGAGTGAGAGTGACGATATGAGGCCACCCTGAAATAACCCTGCGTCCCGAAGGTCGGCGGCGAGATAGATTGATTGCAATTTAGCTGCTTTGCAAAGGGTGTTAAACGGAACGGTACCAGATTTATCAGAGGATGTCGCTCCAAATGTCAGAAGTTCTCTGAGAGAAATTTTTAGGTTAGTTGCCATGATTACAACGTAGTCGGAACATTTAAATTTATAAATACCGTCTTCTCGAGCAGCCATAGACTTCATTCCGTCTTGCTCTTCCTTTCCATTCAGCCTGTATTGTTTTTTCGTTTGTACCGTTATTACCACTATCGCCCGTCGTAAACCTGACCAAAATTTTGCTTGTGTCGATTTTGCACGTATCTATCTCTTTAAGAGATTCCAATCTTGAGGGTGCACTGAGTACAGTCGGTGGTGGTGGCGGAGAAGTCTGTGATGTTCTAGCAGGGGATTGTAATGGTGCTGGGGCTGGTATTGGGGCAATGTAGACGGAAACACGGGAATTCTGAGGATGGCTGGACGGTTTAACACCCACGACGCGGAAAAATTCGTCTTTCTCATCAACAACCTCAGCTCTATCGTCACTGTCGGCATGATTAACATGGGGTGAATTTGCAACGATACTTTTTTCTGTTGTTACGGGTTGAGTTGTTATGTTGGGTTGGTTTTTGCGAAGCTGCCGAGCTACTCCTTTACGAGGACTCGTCGATGCTTTGCCATGAAGATAAGTGTAGTTTTCATGACTGTTTGGAGCAAAAGATGGCTCAAAACCGAGTGACATACTGGATAACTGGTTAGTCAAGGATTGCCCCAATGTATTTTGCTGGGACGAGTTCATCCCCCGAGAATGCGCGGAATGGTTATCGCTGGGGATTTTGTAATCATTGCTTAACAATATGGCGTCCGCAATTGATATCATGGTGTTGGTTCCGTTGGACGAAGAGCTTGCAGATAGATTCGAAACTGCACCATTATTGCTGCGGGTGGTTGGAAGAGGGAAAAGCGACGGTGAACTGGCACCGCCTGGAATGACGGTGTTCAACATTGGATGCTGTATGTTGGGGTGATGATGATATAGGGAAGAGTTTTCGGTAACTTGGCTGTTAGACATAACAGAGCTGTTGTTGTTTTCATATGAGAGTCGACGTCTGCCTGATGAATTGCGATTTGAAGAGTGGAGAGGATTCGGTGAAGTAACTGTAATCTGCGAAGTAATGCCAGTTGTCAAGGAATTGACGGTTTGGGGTTCGGAATTCGCAAATAGATTGGGAGAAGATGTGGAAGATGATCTATTCAATGACGTAGAGACTGCAGGATTCATTTCAATATAGTCATCGTTCTGTGCAGTCATTATTGAAGTTGTCAGGGCCGACGGTTCGGGAGGCACCATTTGAGATAAATTAGAGGAAGACGGCGACGATGATGGTTCAGGATGCAACGACAGTGTGGACATAATTTGGTGAGTGACGTTGAGTGACATTCATATCACTGCATTCGATATGTCCACAATTCCGTGCATTCGCTGAATCGAGGGAGTGAATTGAAGGCAAACGTAGCGATGACATCAAAAATCAGTTCTCGCGTCCTCACAAATCCACTAAGTCCGCCTTAGGATACAATCACTGCTGGATGGATATTATGAATACTAAAGCACATATCATAAGATTTTGAGTGAATGATGAGGTATAGGACTTCCAGCTGCCTTGCAACATGACTGTTGTCTCTATTGCTTTTGTTCTTTTTTGGCCTGCGGTAGAAAGAATGATCTCGTACTGAATTTTCGAGTTCATCAAATCCGGTCGGTCCAGCCTGTCTTCTTCCTCAACAACGCTAACATTATCGTCCTTAAATACCCGATAGTTTGGGACAACTGAGATTTTAGCGCCAGTATGAATGATCAATCAACCCAGATCCATGATTTCCTTTATATCTTTAATTGTTACACAATTCAATTTTCTATTCTGCCGACTATGTTATTAGTATTCTCAGCCAGCCCAATCCATAAAGAATTTCTACTGAATGATAAAGCGAATATCGATCATTCCCATTTCCGCGAGTCTCCGGCAGGCAGGCCATGCGAGGAGCCAGAAGGTGTCACATGTCACGGTGTCTTCCAGTTCCCTCCCCTAAAAAATGAAAGGCCGGC